ATATCATATTCTTGATATTAAGCTGTTTCCGCGAGTCCTTAAAATTGACTCTCCCTCATCCCAGTAAGATTATGTGGCCGCTTGGACACAACAATATTCAAATCAATTCCGGTAGCCTGGCAATTTATCCCGGTGCTCTCAATCCGGGCCATTTGCATGCGCATTAAAGGCTATACTCTCAAAATATTATAACTTTAATTTCTACGATTTAAATTCTCGAAACATTTCGACTTTATTCTCAAAATATTTCGACTTTAATTTCGTAATCTTAGATTTTTTTTTTTTTTTTAACGTGGCACTAAAACACCGTCGTATAATTCTTTGCAATGATTTGTATCGTGAAAAGCGCTGTACAAATAAACTTGAATTGAATTGAATCTATATTAAAATTAATGAATTACAGTAGTATACTGATGACTTTGATTTTTTTACAGTAATTGCACTGTATTACATGAGTACAGTACCATGAAGTTACTGTAAAACTGAAATACAGTTACGATAGTGTAAATCTTAATTACAGTAACTTACTGGCAACAGTGTTGAAATGTCTAACGGTGTAGGTAATTTGCTGGAATTATTACAGAGGTTGTGTGAGAAAAACAGACTTGGCAGATTCGGACGGATTAAAATCGCAAAGTACGTCTGAGAAACACAAGTTTCTCTAATGACCCCCTGGAAAACTAGTCCCATCCGAATAGGGTTTTAGTCTATTTATTTGGCTTCAGAATATGTGTGTACAGTGCATGTATATACTGCACTATGCATGAATGTAGTGTTGTCGACATGCAAGAGAAAAGACGATCCATGCAAAGCTTACAAAGCGTAATCTGCATTATGCCTCTGGCAGTCCAGTGAATGATTTCCAGTCTAATGTGAGCAAAGCGCAGCTCCATTTCTCCTGCAGTGTACATCATGCTCTCACAGCATCGACACAATGGCCAGCTGATAGTCTGATTGCACTTTAGCATTTCCCACTGCTCTGCTAATTGCAGTGACTGCAGCGCTGGTGTTTGCTGCTGTTCTACCTCAACATTGTTAGGAATTCTGAACAGATGTCGGATAATATTTGGATTGTGCTGGATGCCTTGCTTATCTGTTACAATTTAGGCCTGTGAACATCAACAGGCTTGTTAATCTCAGTTGAGCGTTCATTTGTGTCTCCAGCTTCTTGCAACCTAAAAGCAGCCTTTTCGCAGTGTAATTTTGTTCACTATGCATTCGCTGAATAGTTCATAATAAGGCGTCTTTTTTAATCTTTTCAAGATCCTACCAGGTGCATTAGATCAAATTAACTAGATCCCGGCTACAGAAACCTGGGTCATCTTGTATGCCACAGCATATGTTTAGAAAGCCATTTCCTCACCTCAGAGTATGGAAGCATGAAGGCAAGGTTAATGTTTAACATCCTTAATGTGTTTTTTGTTAGGATAGACTGTTTCCGACAGCACAGGCCCATTAAACTTAACCAACACACCCAATGTGCCAACTTGGCATTTTTGTTAAAAAGATAAAGCCTCGCAGACTTTCCCACGTAGTAATCCATTCATGAAAATTATGAGCTGTTCATCTACATCCCAGATTTTTCAGGCACTTTACTAAGGCTACACAACTAACTGAAATAAAGCCAACCTAGTCAAATGGCTTGGTGTGATTATCAAAATGCAAAGGATGTGGTTTAATTAGATATATGTGCTGTGTGTTTCAAAGTGAAGCATGGCACTGTGTTCTTACACGTGAGCAGCTTATCTACCAGTGTTTGCAGTGTTTTAGAGCGGCTCTGTACACAGTAAATGCTGCTCCACACAAACTCCATCTCTGTATGTGCTCTGATTATGTCACTTTGACATGCATTTGGGAATGCAACATGCACCAACCATCCTCCCATACTTGTAATGAGAAGCTCTTATCAACAAAAGAGAAGATTTAAGGGCACACTGCATCTTTCCATCAAAATAAAAGTTTGGTTTATTGTTTGAAAATGAAAAAATTAAGACAGCCATACATATAAGTATTGTAATTTTACAGCTGTAATATAAAATAATAATAGTAATTTTATTTATTTAATTTTATTTATGTATTTATTCATATTAATTTATTATTTATTTAATCCCCCCCTCCCCCAAATTGTGCAGCCCTGTTGCTTTGTCTGTGCCTACATAGGATAGAATTATGTTTTTTGTTTAATGCAGGACTAACTGAAGGATCTGCATTATTTACTGGGCCAAACAGTGTTCTGTACGTTGCATTGTAGTGACTGTAGCAGAGAAAGTCATATGTGTAGTCTGGAGAGACCAGATTTGGAACTGTTAGATAAAAACTTCCTCTGCTGCTCCGAAGGCTTCTTTCCTCAGATATTCATCTCTCTGTCTACATGTGATAGAATCGTGTTATATCCTGTAATGATGGTTTGTTGGCAAAATATAAAGCATCACAGCAATGCCAGCAAATCTGAGACTGTTTATCTGAACTGAGTTCCATTTCATCAAATTGTTTGTTTGACCACTGAACCATTTTACAGTCATACAGCATAGCTGGTTAGGCATACTCTTCTTCATAGTTGGATCTGTTCTGTTGAGTTCATGGTTGCATTTTCTCAATGTTTGATCTAAATTGAGCAATTTTCTGCTTTTTATCCGGTCTAATGTTGGGGATTATTGTTAGATTGATTTAAGATTGTGAAACAAGCAAATGGCCATATTTGCAGTATCAGAGGCAAAGAAACAGCTTTGAAGTCACCTCAGATGTGTTTGAGGAGGGATAAAATGATGCAATCTCTTGAGGAAATGTGACACTTGTTCAAGCAGAGTTTTAACTGCCTTTGTTATCGGACCTTCTGACATAAATCTCTCAAGCGAAGTGTATTTTACAAAGAGTAAAATTACACACAGTCAGGAATTTGCAGTTTGCTAGTTTGTCAAGCATTTTTGAAAGCCCTGAGTCTATTCCTGTTATGTTTCTTTTCACACTGCTCAGAATTGATTCAGATTTAGAGAAAGTTTACTCCACAATGAAAGTTAAATGAAAGAATCATTCACTCACCTTCAGGTCATTCCAAACCTGTATAACATTTTTGCCTGCATGAATAGAGGGACAGAAATATTTTAGGTTTCATTAAAAATAATTATATTTTTGTTTCAAAGATGAACATAAGTCTTATTTGGAATGGCACGAGGGTGAGTAAATTATGACAGTATTTTCATTTTTGGGTAAACTATCCCAATTATATATGCCATGGAGCAAGTGGTTTTTGATTAATTTAAAATTGGTTGACTTTAGTGTCCTGCTGAACTAAAACTGAATTGCTATTTTATATTGCATTACATTAATGAATAATATGAATAAAAACTTGCAAGAAGAACTAAGGATCATTAGGAAGTTACTTAACAATTACTTAAATTTGTTCTTTTAGAGCTTTTGCAAAGTAATTCAGACATCTGCTTTAGAATGCAGACATCGAGAACCACTTAACTGAATACGGTACAGGATCTGAATATGAACCAGATTCATGCTAGTGCATTCATTGTTAGTCAGTTGCTAATGCAGGCTAGATGGTAGGTTGTTGCTAGGTGGTTGGTAGGCTGTCACTAAGTGGTTGCTAGGGTTTTCTGCATAGTTTTAAGATAGTTTCTAAGGTGTTGCGATGGTGTTCTGGATAGCTAGGTGGTTAGGGAAGTATATGAGAAATATATCTATAGAAAGCTTGAAATGTCTACTTTTGCATTTCTCTGTAATTGCACGACCACTGTACGGCAGAGATGGCGAATCGGCATAGTCAGCTTCATCTTTGCAGCTGACACGGACTCAGAAAACACTAGTTTTTTTAATAAATAATTAAAATACCTCCTTGCTATTTTTTTTTCCGACACATTCATAGTCATTACTTTTGGTGGTGCTTTGCGGCAAGATTTATGCATGTGCTTGAGCGTGGAATAGGCTATTAAAGGCTATTATAGGCTATTAAAGGCTCATTATTAAATGAATATTCAACATGTGATTAGTCAACTAATGGCTTAAATGAACAACTACTAGTCGACTAGAAAAATTTTAGTCAGGGACAACCCTATTTTTTTCTTGGTGATTGGTACGTTTTCTTTCCTCACCAGTTTTGCCATCTGACATGCAAAAATCTAATAAAACAAAGATAATAATAATAATAATAATAATAAAAACACTCTACCCTACAAGCTTCATGATTTGAGGCATCATTCATGTTCATAACACAAACAATGTGGAAGTGTTATGCACCAACGTTTAGTATGGTTACAGGTTGTAAAAAACAGCACTAAATGGTTTAACTTTACACTGACATGAGGTGAGGGTGAAGCCAGCAAGCACAATGGAAAGCTGAAGTCTGCTGTGAATGGGAGGAAGTGTTGCACAAGAGGAAGTGGCCAGAGCACCTCCCAGCACTTTACCACCGGGGCAGTTTAGCCTACAGTCATTACATGAAGAAGGGGCAAAAGTCGCCTTGAATATTAAGAACATGATTACCACAAATCTAGCACATCCCCTGCCCTGCTCAAACCACACATCTGCAGGCTCGAGCCTGTTATGGTTTTATGATGGATTGATGAAGTGCATCCATTAGACCAAAGCTGTGCACAATAGTTGTTTTGATTACTTTTACTCAAGGCGACACACTGTTTGTTTCTGTGATAATGGACGAACGATTCAGGTTAGTATGCAGTGTGGTATAACAGGCCCACATAAAACTGAAGGAAGTCTGAAGCAAGTTTGAATTCAGGAACTTAACATGCACTGAGTGATTAGGTTGTGAGAATCCATTAGCCTGAAGGCTTTAGTGTGTTAAAGCTTATTTCTGGACTTTGAAGTGCGAAATTATGGGGAAAAAGACTTTAAAAGATATATGTGTAGAGGAATTGAAATAGGGAAATGCTGTTTAAAAGCTCATGCAGTCAATGATATCACAGCTCTGTTTCTTTTAAATTTGCTTATTTTTAGCTGTTTTAATGAAAACTCTTTCTCTTCTCTCTTTTCAGACTGTTAGTATTTCTGTAGGATTGTGACCTTGGCGAGTGCCTGGATAGGCCTCCCTTCTGTCACCTCCTCTGCTTTTCTGCTGGTAAGCATCTCCAAACACAATCACAGCTCTATTACAACTACTGTGCAGTTATTTTACTGTATGAACTGTTGTGAAGTTACTGTTTTGTTATAACTAGCATATTAATAATACTTTTTCAAGGACAGTTAGCCTAAGAAGTCACTTCTTCTTCTTCTACAAGTCAACATGTAACTGTACTACCAGAACTATTTTAAATTGGTCATTTCATGAAAATGTAAATTTTGGAAATTTGGGTTTGGTAAGTATATATGAAGAGTTTGGTTCCAAAACTCTATAAATCCATTTTGATTAATTTGAGTAAAAATGTGTTTTCTTTACCAAGAAAGTGGCAAGATGAAAACCACTATTTTCTGTTTCAAACTTTCACATTGCATCTTTAGGTTATAATAACATTAAAAATTAAAATCCAGATTTTGATTTTCAAAGATTTATTATAAAATGTTATTTTTTTCCCAAAATGCAATAAATCCATGATACTTTTTTTTTCTTCAGAATGCAATAAATCCATTGAATCAATATAAAAGTTATTTTTCATATTGAAACTGTTGAAAATACACAACATAGTAAGTTGATCCACATATGACAGCCTCTGAACTTGGTCAATACTAATCTTATATCCTATGTCTTATATAGGCTACAGGCACTGAACTAAAAATACATTCAATCAGTCATCGCTCCCAAAATGAATTCAACAGGTCATCTTGTTAATGCTATAAATTAATTACAAAAATAAAAGAAAATTTAATCATGAACAAGAACATGAACAACCATATCACATTAAACCACAGAAATTCCAAAATGACATTTCCCTTACATTTATCTTCCAAAAGTGCATTCATCTTTGCCATGTTACATTCATTTAGCTGACTAGTGCTTAGTTGACAGCCTACGCTGTATTAACAAAAACATTAATGGCATTAATAAAAACACTTACACTGACAAGCTACGCAATATCAC